CACACACACACACACACACACACACACACACACACACACACACACACACTCACCCACTCACTCCAGAATGCACAGGCCAGGCGGCCAGCCAGGCTCTCACCTCTTACGGGTGCTGCTTGGATCTGGTGGGAAGGCAGCTGTGTCCAGCACACCCTGGGTATGCAGTCCTTTCCCTGCCCCGCTGCCAAAAGAGCCCTCCAGGGTGAAGCCATTGGGGAAGGTGACCTTGCCCTGCAAACCAGGGAAGGGAAGCAGGGACGCCTGTCTGTCTGTCCAGCCGCCCTTCCCCCAATCAGGACAGGCCTCGTGCCTGTCCATCCTGGGTCACAGAGGCTAGGGACTGACAGGTTGCCTTCCCACCATCCATTCGAGGGGCTCATCATCCTCCACACCTGCAGGAGCCCCCGGCCAAGAGCTGTGCCAACGGCCCAGGGGCTCAGCTCAGAGGTGGGAGACTGGGAGGGGAAGGGGAAAGGACTCTCAGGTCAGAGCAAGAGAACCACTGCTGAGGGAATTGGCAGGGGGAGGGGGGCGGTTAAGTCCAGAAGTAGGAAGAGGCCTAGGAAAGGCATGAGGTATGCTAGCCCTGGGAGAGGCAGCTCCCGCTGCATGGCCTGTCCCGTTCCGAGAACTCCTGGCCTCGCCCCTTTAGATGCCACAGTGCCCCCCAGTCATGAGGAGAATGAAACAGCCCCCACATTTCCAAAAGCCCAAGCAGGGCCCAACTGCCTTCTGCTGCGTCAGCTGCGCAGGATCATGCTGAAGGACGGTCACTCCAGGGGCCCCTGCCCAAGGCCCCTAGGGGCCTGTCAGGAGACACAGCCCAGCCACCAGCACCCTGTGCACCCATGGCAAGTCCATCTGTCCCCTCTAGCCTCCCACCAGGATTGAATCACCACTCCACAGCAGGAGGGGTCATGGCGCCCACCCTCTGGACGCCATGGAGATGGGAGAGGCCCTCCCCTACCTTCCCCATCCACTGCCCACACCCTCAGTCCTGGGTCCAAGCGGGGAGATTATAGGCTCCACCCGAGGCCTCGGCGGGAGTGGAGTGGGTCTCGGTGGTCCTCACCTTCCCCACAAGGGTCAGGTCCCTGGTGAAGGTGCCCTCATACAAGGAGTCGTCTTCAGAGAGGAGGATCCCGGGGCCCTAGGGAAGGAAGCCAGAGTAGAAGCAGGGGAAGGGCCAGGAGACTGGGGGTGGGGAGAGAACGGCAGGAAGACAGGAGGCAGGCACCAACCCAGGGCAGAGCCCTGTCACACCTCCCAGCACTGTGCCGAGGTGGGATGCCAGCCCTTGGCCTGCTGAGCACTGAGCACCAGCCCCATGTACCTCATCCCTGGGTTACCCTGAAGCACATCCTGGGACCTCGCTCCTTCTCTCCAGCAGCCTCTCTCAGGAAGCCTCCTGGGGGGCCCTTCCTTCCCCACCTATGGCTCAAGAGGTGCTGAGCTTGGGGCGCCTGGGTGGCTCAGGTGGTTAGGCGACTGCCTTTGGCTCAGGTCATGATTCCGGGGTCCTGGGATCGAGCCCCGCATCGGGCTCCCTGCTCCGCGGGAAGCCTGCTTCTCCCTCTCCCCCTCCCCCTGCTTGTGTTCCCTCTCTCGCTGTGTCTCTCTCTCTCTGTCAAATAAATAAAATCTTAAAAAAAAAAAAAAAAGAAGAAGTGCTGAGCTTCTCTTCAGCCATCCCCCCTTCCCTGTCACTGATCCTTGGTGACAGCAGAGCTGACCACGCCCCCTTGTTACACTGGCTGCCAGGAAGCTCAGGGCCCAATGGGATAGAACTTGTGTCCTACTTGAATTTATTCTGTGTCTGCTCTTTTCTTCCTCCTTCAGTCCTTTTCAGAACAAAGTGGAGCATAAGCCAATGTACAAGCCGTAATAACAATCACAGTCCCCAGGCCAGAGTCCTACTATGCGCCGAAGCATCTGGCTGGGTGTGGGTGAGGCAGGAGGCAGGTGCTGGTGTGCCTAGGCTCAGGGGACCTGGGGTGAGTCTCAGCCCTGCCACTCAATAGAATGTGACACCAGGCAGGTCCTCTGACCTCTCTGAGCCTCAGTATGTCATTCATACACTGGGGACAGTGACATGACCCGCAGGGTTACTGGCAGGATGCCCTGAGATCGTGCCAGGAGGCTGAGCCCAGAGCCAGGCCTCCGGTGAGGGGTCTATAAATGTCCATCGCAGAGGCTGCAGGCATCGTCGTTACCATGCACTTCGTTCTTGCTAATTTCCCTGAATGTTTACAGTCAGTAAGTAGTGAACCTGAGTTGCTGATGGGGAAACTGAGGGTGGGAGGGCCAAGGCCAGGGTCGGTGGCTGGCAGAACTGCATTCCTGCTGAGGTTCTGGCTCCCTCTACCACCTAGGAACCCAGCTTCCTGCCCCATCCACTTCCTGCCCAGCCTCTGCTCAGCATCGGGGCCCTGAGAGCAGGGCGGCGGGGGGAGGGGGGGCCTCCAGAATTCAGCCCCAGGACAGGGAGAGGGTAGCTCAGGACACACACGGGTCACCCCACTCACCACCATCTTGTCTGCCTGGAAGGTCCCCTGGTAGCAGACACCGGCCTGGGTGACCATGACCCCTGGGCCATGGCGCTGGTCGGCCTGCCACATGCCAATATAGCGCTCGCCCCTGGAGAGGAGCCAGAGTGGGATCAGAATCATTCCTGGGCACTTCTGTGTGCTTTGCTGGCACAGTTGGGGTGGGTGGAGAGCAGGTAAGGGGCAATGATATCACCTGAACCCACTCAACTCACACGCGGGAGAGAGAGGTGAGGACCTCCAAGAGGAAGAGAGGGTGGAGGAGGGAGGGAGCCTGCCTGCAGAAGCGTATCCTGGCAGGCTTCCTGGGGGAGGTGGCAGGAAGGGCAGATGGAGTGCAAAGCCATGGAGGTAGGAGCCTACAACCGACACAACGGGTACAAGGGGGCACCCAGTGGTCTAGAAGGCTGGAGGGGTGCAGGGGCGGCACGGCAGGGGTGAAGTCTCGAATGCCAGGCTGAGAGCCCTGGGCTTTGTCTCACAGCCCAGAGAGCCGGGAAGGGCTGTGGGCCTTACGTGGGGCTAGATGGGGGTGGGGGGGGGGTCAGAAACTCCTCCCGGACAGAGCAAGGAGGGGCCAGAGTGGAGTGGGGAGGCTCCTCGGTCAGGGGGCTCAGGGCCCCCTCATTCTGAACCTCAGCCTCAACCAAGCCTGCGGACAGGAAGTGAGGGGCTTTGGGGGGACTCTGGGCGGACAGATAGACTGGACCCACTGACGACGGGCCCCGCGCCCTGAGGCACCCTGGTCTGTGATGGGGCGCGAGCCCTGAGCCTGCGCTCACCTGGCACCGTCCTCCTCGACACCGTATCCGCTCCGCTGGCCCCTCTCCCAGTGGCCCGTGTACTTGCAGGGCTGCAGGGCCCGTGGGGCGCTCGCGAGGACCCCAAATCCGTGGCGCAGGCCCGCCCGGAAGTAGCCCTTGTACACCTCATCAGTGCCGTACCTGCAGAGGGCCACCGACAGCTGGCCCGGCCCCCCCGAGGTGAAGCCCGGGGGACGTGGCCGCCCCACACGCCCGCCCTGCCACCGGGCCGCCGGGCACTTACTCACAGATGCCGTAGCCACACATGCTGCCTTCCCGCCAGTGGCACTTGTAACAGTCAAATCTGTCCTCGGGGCCCTGAGGCACCAGGCGGATGCCGAAGCTGCCGGTGTGCGTGTGGGGGAGGACAGTCAGCACCCGGGCCATCGCCTTGACCCAAGACACCCCACGACACCCCTCCATGCCACCCCGGTGTCCCTGCCTCTGAGGGGCCCTCTCAGACAATGGGGACAATCTCCCAGGTGCTCAGGCGTCTTCTCTTCCCAAGGGCCACTCTCAGGACGCCATCCCCGCCCCGCCCCTCATGCACCGTGGGAGCACCTTGGGGCCCTGACCACTCCGTCCACGGCCCGCCCCCTCCTCTGGGCTTTCCGTTTTGTGCACTAAGGGGAGCTGGACCAAATGGCCTCAAGTTCCTGCTTAAGGTTTGGGAACCGAGGATGGGGCCAGGCTGGTGACGGTGGCAGGGGCGAAAGCCACTCGCCTGCCCACCACCCGCTCCCACAGCAGCCCCAGCCTTACCCGTGCTCCAGGCCCTGGCAAAAGTTCCCCACGTGATTCCGGCCATCGGGCCACTTCAGGGTGCCCCTGGAAGACAGTCGAGATCCACGGTCCACATATCAGGCCCGCCAGACCCATCCTTCAAACACACACAGGCCCCGCCCCCCGGCTGACCTCCACAGTGGACTCTCTCAGAGGCCTACTTTCCCCTTGGACTGGACTCTCTGCCCCCAGCCAGCCCTCTTCTCTGACCCACAGGGGCTCTCAGCCCTTCTCGACTCCAGGCACAACCGCCCCAGCAGCCTCCAGCACACTCCCCACACTCCACGGGGAGAGCTCTGGAAACATTCAGGTTCCCTTTTTCCCTTGACCCACAGGAAGCTCTGAGCTAAACTTCAAGCTTAAGTCAAGTGCTAGTCAGTGGTTTCTAGCATCCTTCTCCCCTCTTCAGACACGGCATCGTTTTTTTCTGGGGTTTTCTTGTTCATTTTTTCCTCAAGCCCTTTCTGGAAGTAGCCAAGGTCTCAGAAACTAACGTGCTTGTGAGCATCACCTCGGCAAGGCCCTTCTGCTTTCTGGGCCTTGGCCTTCCCAGCTGTATAGCATGGGGTGGGGCGGGGGGAGGAGTCACATGTTCTTCCAAAGCCCCCCTGCTTGCGGGGTCACGCAGACCCAGAACCTGCCCTGAGGCCTTGGGCAAGTCATGCCAGTCTCTGGCCTCAATTTCTGCACCTACAGAATGGGCGAGAACACGCCCCCAGAGTGTTCTTGTAAAGACTGGTGGAGATAGGAGGTCTGCGAACCATTTCCACTACCAGCTAGCGCTGCGTGGACATGAGAATTACCCTTCTGTCCTCCCAAGAACAGCAACTGCAGACCTGAAGTCTCTCCCACGTGCTCTGGGCTCATGACCATCATCAAGACTCTACACGGCACAGACCTACAATGGGCCGGGTCCTGTCCGACGGGGCTTAAGACAGACTGGGAGACAGAGTTGACCGACTGATGCGGGAAGGAACGGCCTTTGGTTGGTGCCCGGAGGTGATTAGGTCCTGTCTGCCCCTCAGATCCCCAGGAGGAGCCCTGCCTTGCTGGGCCCGGAACCCCAGTCACTCGCCTGCCATGGGGCCTGCCCCGACACCACTCGCCCTCGTAGGTGGCCTGGCAGAGCCGGCCCTCGGCGCGGAAGGTGTATGCCACGCAGCGGCAGGTCGGGGGCTCAGAAGGCTCCAGGTCCGCCCCCAGCACAGGGAAGTCCTTCTTCCCACGCAGGGCCTGGCACACAGCCTGAGTCACTTTCCACTGCCAGACCGTCTGGTGCGGACAGAGGAGACACAGGAGAGGTCACTGCTGTGCCAGTGGCCCCTCTGGGAAGCCTTGTGGGGTAGCTCCAGACAGTCCCTCCACCGCCCCAACCCGGTTCTGGCACTTGGCAGAACCTCCAACTGCCCCATGCTGCTCCCTAGGGCCCTGCATCCAGACGGGCCACCTGCATCCTGAGATCCCTGTGCAGGTTCAGGGCCTGCCCAGAGGGGCCAGACAGAACCACCGGGACCCACACAGGCCCCGATCCTGGTTTCATAGGGAAAAATGCCCTGTGCTCTGTGGCATTCTGATGCCTCACCCCAGGCCGGCCACTGCGCCTCGCTCTGACCACGACCCCAGAGGCCTGGCCACTCCCATGGAGCCTCCAGGGTGGTATACCCGGGCCCTCCTCACTCCCCTCACCCCAACACCCAATTCCCAGCTCGCCCACACTCACCCGGTCCTGGGGGGCCTTGGAGCAAAAGGAGAGCTCTTCCTCAGGTGTGAGGAGGTGAAATGTGCACCTAGACAGAGGGAGGTGACTGGTAGGCCCCAGCTCTGTCCAGGAGGGTTTTCGGGAGGCCCCACCCAGCCCTGGGGGGCGGGCAATTTCATGAGGGCGGAGGGAGAGAAGGCCCGGGGTGCCTTTGGAGGGGGCTGCTCACCTGTCCTGCCCAGGATCCACCCACACCAGCTTCAGATCAAAGGTGTGGACACTGTGACCCTAGAAGAAGATGGGGCACCGGGGTCACCTAGGGCCCAGCCCAGACGCTCCCCTACTGCTCTGGCCCAGGCTTGCTCCAGGCACCAACCTGCTGCCACACCACTGGGTGTCCCCTGGCCGCTCAGCCCAACATGCCCAGCACTGAGCCTGCTCCCCGTCTCCAGGACGGCCCATCTTTCTCCCTTCCCATCTGAGGGCTGGCCGGGAACCTGGGAGCAGCCTCCCCCACCCCCCACATCCTGCTCCATCATGGCTGCAGCCGAACACCATCGGCCCCCGCTGGAAACCTGTCTTAGGCTCCTACCGCCTGGGGGATGGAAACCTCGCTGCTGAGCCGGACCCCTGCGGCCACACAGACCACTCCCGGCTCACAGGTCCCCCCTCCTGGTGCCCGCCACACCAAGGCGCCACGGCCCTGCCACACTCACACCTTCTCAAGCCTGCCCCCAAGCCCCCTCAATCTGACCCCTTGCTCACGCTGCTCCTTCTACCTGGAAGGCCGTCCCTGCTCTGAGAGCTGATGAACACCCCTTCCTCTAAAAGATTTTGTGTAGCGACCTCCTGCCCGGCCTAGGCAGGCCAGTCACTGCCTCGCTGCCCCAGGAGGAGGAGGGGGCGCCAGGCCCAGGCCCGAAGGGCAGGAGGAGGGTGGCAGATACAGGCAGGGACAAGGGTGGGCCTGGCACAGGACATGCAAAGGCCCAGAGGCAGGAAAGGGTGCAGCGCATTTAAGCGACAGCATCTCATCAGTGTACCTGGAGTGCAGAACGTGAAGTCGGGAGTGGAGGGGAACTCAAACTGAATCAGAACCCCAAAACCAGGTTTCAGGAGACACAGGGGTTTGGGCAAGTAGCCTCCCTGCCAGGCCTCAGCCTCCCTGTCTGCAGGGGAGTCCCAGACTGACATTCTGAGCGGACAGAGAGGACAGTGCTGCGGCTATCACAGGGGCAGTCTGAGTCCGGGGGGGGAACTAGGCACAGTCAGGGTTACGGGCCAGGGAACAATCCCAAACCCCCGGCCTGGCTCCCCGCTAACTTTGCTGATGTCCAGAGCCCAGGTACTGCTTCCAAGCGGTGCTCTTCCCTAGAAGCCTCGTGTGTACCCTGTCCATCCAGCCCTCCTCAGCCACCCACGGCCACCCAGGACCTCCCATCTGCGGCTCCTCTCCTATGTGAGGAAGACAACTGAAGAGTTGTCCGGCATCCGCAGAAGGACAAACTCACTCCCAAGCATCCCATTTTCCAGATGAAGAAACCGAGGTATGTTTAGCAGGGATGCCGGCTGGCCAGGGCTGGGGCTGGGACGCACCTGGAGCGGCCTTGTCCCACCACGCACTCCTCCTGCAGGGATGAGTCCACCTGCTGCCGCCACCCTGGCGCTGCCTGCCTCTCAAGCCCTATCCCCTCCCCACAAGCCCTGAGTTCTTGCTCCTAGCTGTCTCCCTCCCACTGCCTTCTCAGCCAGACCCCAGGCCCCCACTGCAGCCCCGGGACCTCTGGTCGGCCCCACCCCGACCTGTAGCAGGACAAGGGCATCGTCAAAGAGCAGCACGCGCTCCGCCCGCAGTGGGGTGACCGTCACAGGCACATCCTGGCTGTCCTGCAGGAGTCGGCGCTCAGGGGTGCAGAGCCCATCCTGGGGAGCAGAGCAGGGAGGCACGGGCTCAGGCACCCCCGTCCTGGTGGCTGTACCCGCGCCTCTGCCGGGAGCACCAGCTCCGCCCCCCCCCCCACAGTCTGAGCATCTCCTGGAGGCCCCCAGCTCAGCGATGGACACTGGGGTCCAAGGTCTGGAGGGGCAGCTCAACTTGTCTTGAAGCTTTGCTTTGATGCCCACCGGCCCCCTGCCCAGAGCCCCCGACAACACTCACTGGGGCTCTGCAGTCCCCACCTCTCGCTGGCGAGTCTTGTCCCCTTGCCTGTTCACCTGATTATCTACACTGCGCCCCAGGCCTGTCACACCCTCCCAGGGCACAGGGGGCTTTCTCCCCCAGCGAGGCAGTGATGTGAGGATGTGATCGTTTGGTGGCATCCCAGGACAGAGGGTCAATTCTGACCGCTCTTCCCCCGAGCCAGTTCACGGCATGGCCGGGAAGGTGCTCCACGAGTGTCTGAGGGGGGCTGAGCAGACGGCCCTCCCAGCCACCTGCTTCGGCCACTGCTCCCACTTCCAGACGGGGAAGCGGACGCACGGAGAGTCCGGCAGGCCCCTTCCCTCCCCGCCCGGCAGGCCTCCAACTCACTCTCAGCCGGCTGCTCAGGGAGTGCCAGAGAGCCTGCGTGGCCAGGGCCTGGTCCAGTGCCTGCCTCAGGAAGGACTGCAAGTTCACAAAGAGGGTGGCTGCGTGCACCACCAGCTCCCGAGTGCGGTGAGGCTGTGGGGACACAGGGCAGCTGGTGGGGGGGGGGCGGCGGAGAGCTTGTCAGAACCTCCCCCCCAACCTGTGATGCTTGCCCCAGCCCTGGCCGGGCCCGAGCTGCTCCGAAGGTCTGGATCGAAACTGAAGTTTGTCCCTTTCTCCCTGCCGGCCCTTCCTTCAGCCAAAGGCCAGTGGGAGGGTGCTTCCAGAGGGCTGCTGGGCCTGGGCCACGTGTCCTCACACCCAGTAACACGACTCTTCATCTGCTCCTGGGTCTCCGCCGGCCCCACTAAGGCACAGCCACGTACCTCAGACAGGCCAGGGCAAGGACAGGCCCTGTCGACCCGCCCCCCCCCCAGAACACGGCCCTGTCCCCAAAGTGCGACTAGGTCCTTCTCAAACCGGGGTCCCTGAGTAAGCGGAGTCCCCGGAGCCGGGGCCCTATTTCTCTCCTCCTTCGGCTTCCCTGCAAGCCACAGGCCCAGTGAGTGGCCCCCGGCCCCCCGACGTCCCTGCTACTTACCTCCGCAGCAGTGTCCCCGAAGCTCAGCAGGAGGAGCACATACTGCTGCACGTGATGGGCCAGTGGCTGGTGGAGGGCCTGGGCCAGCACCGTGCCCACTGAGGCCTCGGGGCTCACGCCTGGCAGGAGCTGCCACAGGGCCTTCCGCTGGCCCCGCCAGAACTCCCTGGGCGGAGGGAGGGCCACACACCGCCTTCACTCCCCTCCTCCATTCCCGAACCCACCGCCATCCACCCCACCCTCTACGCCCCAGCTAAGCCCCCAGATCCCAGGAGCAGTCCCAGACCCCAAACTGCTCTCCTAGCAGAGAAATACAGCCACCCTATTGGAGAGTCAATGGCAATAACCACCCACCCTGAACAGGACGGCCCCCCCTTCCCCTTCCCGGGGTCAAGCTTGGCCAGTGGATATCTGGTTTGTGCTCACGGCCCCCACAGCCTTCCCTCCCTCTCTTCCGGTGCGGAGCAGTGTGGAATTGTTAGACCCAGGAGCGCTCAGGATGAGTCATGGGCTGTGACACTCTGCTCTGGGGCTGGGACTTCCGTGACCTTCCCGCCGGGGCACCCCCTGCCTGCGCAGAGGGCCCCTGCAGCATCCTGGGCTCACCTCCTCTTCTTTGCTGCCTTCTGAAAGGCCTGCACCACCACACAGCTACTGTAGGACTCGATGTACCTGCAGACAGCACCGAAGACAGCCTGCAGGCCCAGCTCACGGCTTCACACCCAGACCCCTGCGCTGCCGGGGTCCCCGAATCCCGCTCGCTGAGTGGCTGCAGCCCCGCCCCAACCAGACAATTCCAACTCAGTCTTTCTCCCCTGGGAGGCCCCAACGCTCAGGTCTGGGGTGTCTGAGCCGGTGCCGGGCTGAGGCCCAAGCGCCTGAGGCCGACCCCAGGTGAGCCCCACCGCAGCCTAAACCCAAACCTTGGCCTAAGCCTGACCCAGGTGAGCCCTGGTGCCCAGCGGCGAGCACGCTGATGCCCAGGCCTAGCCCCAGCCTTCCTCGCTGTCTTACTCCACGTGGGCCTGCAGGACGCGCTCTGCGTGCTGCAGCAACATCAGGGACTCCAGACCCACGGTGTCCTGGTGGCACAGCCTCTCCCGCAGCGAGTGCAAGCTCTCCTCCGTCACCTCCCAGAGCCGCTGGGAGCTCCAGTGCAGCCGCTGCAAGAGCCGGAGGCACTCTCTGCCCTGGGGGTCCGAGGGCTCCGGGGCTGGAGCGGGGGGCATAACCGCAATGTGAGGGGGGGCGGCGCCCCACAGCCCAGGAGCTGCAGCCGGGGTCCTGCCTCTTCGGGGTCCCTGGGACAGGCCAGGAAGCCGACGTGGCCCCTTGAGCTCAGCAGGGACGGGCAGGCTGGAGCGCGGGGCAGCACCCTTGAGGAGTCAGTGGAGCACATATCCACCCCCCCACGAAACAGGGTCAGCACTCATGACCCAGGGCCACCAAGTACACTAGCTGCCCTGAGTCTCTGGGCTTTCTCAGGTCTGGGATATGGGGTCCGTAGGATCCCGTGGTGCCCTGGCACCCACAGATGCTCAGACAGAGCCCCCAAGTGGAAGGCACCTGACCAAGGTCACTTCACAAGTGGCCAGGGAGACCCAAACTGGGTCATGCCCTGGGTGAGAGCAGGATGCGAATCCAGGCAGAGAATCAGGCCCACACCCTGGAAGAGGTGGGATTTTGACTCTGGGCACAGCTGGGTCTAGACTACAGGTTCACGGCCCGACCCCTGGGGCGCCTCGGAGAAGGGAGCAGCCAGCGGCTGGAGCCAGAGCCCCAGTCTCATCGGAAGATGTCGATACCAAGTGTCCCCACTCCTGTTTGAGATGCAGAAAGCTGTGCCTCAGGAGGTCTAACAAGGTAGGACTCGGATCCCCAGGATGCTTCCTGTGTCCCCCACCCTTGCCACTGCCAAGCCGAGACTCACTGGTTTCGAGCAGGGGCAGAAGGACAAGGCCGTTGACGCGGGCGAGGGTAGCCGAGAAGACCTCCTCCAGCCGCAGCAGGGCCTCCTCCTCCGGGCTGCACATGGCCAGAGCACGGCCCTCAGGAGCTGTGAACGGGGCACAGGCTGGAGTAGGGCACCGGTGAGAGCTGGGTCAGGGCCATGCCTTCCGTCCGAGTGCCCGAGACTGCCCACAACAGGTGTGAGCAATCAGCCCGGGCAGCCTCAAAGGGGAATTTCTGGACTAGCCGCGGACGCCTGCCCTGCTCTGCCCCTGGGCCCAGCTGAGGGGACCTGACCGAGTGGGAGAGAGACCTCAGAACTGCCCAGGGAAGCATCCCTTTTTAGCCAAAAAGGCAGATGCTCTTCGAGCCCAGTTCTGGCCTGGGCTCATTCCCCTGCTCACACATCCACCATGGCTCCCAAGGGCTCAGAGTAATATCTGATGGTGCTCTGACCTCACTCCCTCTCCACCGAGTCTCTGGAAATGAGGACATATTGCCAGAGAAACCCAGCCTTTTTCTCAAGGCCATGGCTCAGGACCCCCTGTCATCCAAAGGGCTGTGTAAGCAAGGAGAGGTCTGGGGGAATAGGGAGGTGCTCTCCTGCTGGAGCCATCATGGATAGGCAAGAAATAAAGAGGCAGAGAGGAGGACAAAGCATGCAGGTGGGGACACCATGAGAGCAAAGGATCACGGGCATGAGGGCCCAGGCTCCGAGGGTGGCCCACCAAGAGTGACCTAAATGGCCATGGGAGGAGCCATGGAGGATCTCAGGGCAAGGGAGTGGTAGGACCCAAAGCCAGACCTGCAGATGCGACGGGTGTGATGACAGCTGTAGAGGGAGCTGAGCAGCGGGAGGGTGAGGTCAGTGTGGGTGACAGCTAGATCCTCTGTGCCCCCCAAGCCCACCAACCCTACTGTGCTCAGAGGAAAGAGGGAAGGGCTGTAGAGGTGGGCAGGTGGGCTTGAGTCTTTGACCTTCCCACCCTGGAGTGAGGTACCCACCAAGCAGGCAGGGGATCCCCTGGGAATGTGGCTTTCTGATGAGAGGGAGGGGCAGCAAGCAGCCTGGGCTCCAATCCCCCCACCCCCCCCACCCCAGCCTCCAAGCAGACACAACCCTCTCCCACCGGAGCTGGGTGCCCTCACCAAGCAAAGTTCATCTGCCCCAGTGACCTGACCAGATGTCTCAGGGTTGAGAGTTGGAGGGGTTTTAGCCCTAGACCCTCGCACTGCCCCTCCCTGGCTCTGACACCCTGAGGCTCTGCAGTTAGCTGAGTGGGGCGGGGTGGGAGATATAATCGAAGCTGCTGGAATGGGCAGGCAACACAGACAGACCCAAAAGGGTGAAGAGGAAGGGGTCTCATCCCTCCCAACCCAGCCCCAGGGGCACCAGAGGGCATTCCAGGCCCCTGGCAAAATCTACAGCTCCCAGGGAACAGACTTTGGGGCAGTGGGACCGGTGCCTCAGAACTCTGGCCAAGGGCCCAGGCCCAGGCGTTCCTGCCCCACCTTTCCTGCTGCTATGGCTTCAGGAGGGCGAGGCCTTGGGAGGGACAGGCAGGAAGGGGAAGCAGCTAGACACCCAGACGTGGCCTGCTCTCTCTGCGGGCCCCTGCAGCAGCCCCGGTAACCCCCGCACCCCGCTCCCCGACCTGGGGCAGGTCGCTCCAGGTCAACTCAGGCAGACCAGGAGAGCCCAGCCAAGGGACCAGGGTACAGCAAGTGTGGTCCGCCTGACCCTCCCCCATTATCTCCAGAAACGGACAGAAGGGAAAAGCCCTTTGGGGGATGACTTTTCCATCCTCAGTTGGCAGCCCGTCAGTCGGGGTCTGAACTGAGAGATGAGGACACGGGCTAAAGAGGAAGAGGGTGCAGCCGGCACAGGAGGTGCAGACTAGGAACCAGATCAGGGCGAGTGCGGACCTGCAGTCAACAGCTCAAGGCTGGGAGGTCCTGCTCCCACAGGACTCCCTGCTGACCCCCTACCCACTGCTCAGTCCTGGTCATGCTCCAGCTTAGCCAGAGCCCTGCTCCTCTCTATGCCTCTGTCACCGCCTCTATGAAATGGGGGTCTCATTAGATCAGAGCTTTCAAACTATCTAAGCCTTCCCTAGAAAGGACCAACTGGTGGGCGGAGCTGCTCTGGGTGTGGAGACCTGGTCCTCAGCCTCCCTCCCCGCTCAAAGCAGCCCGGGCCCCTCAGGATGTGTCTTACAGACCCGGACGGGCAGACACGGCTCTAGGACCCTTCCAGATCTGTGGCCCCAAAGGGATGTCTACCCCTAGGAAACTGAGGCACACTGCCCAGAGAAAAGGCCAGAAGTTAAGCATGGCTAGTGAGGTTGTGGGCAGGGGAGGAAGGCTGCAGGAAGGCTGCAGATGAGGTTGGGGATTTGGCCTGGTGGCGACCACGGGGCCCTGCTCCTTGGCTAGGGAGCTTGGGGCTTCGTCCTGGAGGCAACCAAAGGCTTGAGAGCAGGGAGCAGACCAGGCATGAGTGTGTTTGGGGGCGAGGGGAAGTTCTAAGCCATAACATGAGAGGGACCCAGCAGGGATAATGCCTGCTCAAACCTGGCATACCCCCAATCCACCCGGCTCTGGTCAAGGGCATGGCCTCCTTACCCTGGCCCTCTACCCAGGTTTAGTGGTAGGTCGCACATAAGGTACATAAGGAGAAACTGAGGCCTAGGAAGGAACCGGAGGGTCAAGACACTATCTGTAGAGCACGTGCAGGACTCAGACCCACGCCTCTGGCTCCCCGTCCCACCAGGCTCACCTGAGTGAGGTGGTTAAGAAAGGCTAGGCAACTTGCCTCAGGGTAAATAGCAAATTCCCAGCAGGGCCCAGCCTCCTACCTCCTCAGGCAGCCTTGGTGCTCCCTGTGGGGCGGGGTGAGGACAGAACTGGCTAGTCTTGGCGTGCCCAGGTGAGTCAGCTGCCCGTCCCCGTGTAGATCTAACCAGCAGCCAGACCTGCTCTCTCCCCTGCATTCCTGGCCTCTGGCTGCGCCAGACTGCTCTCAGGCGGGGTCACTGAGGCCTCCCCTACCCTCTCCAAGGCCCCTCAGGCCCCTCAGGCCCCTCAGGCCCCTGGGCCACACCCTGTCATGGCACCCACTCTGGTATTTCCTGGTCTGGACAGGCAAGGAAGTTTTGCTTGCCACGGAGACTTTTTCCTGGGCTGCCCCAGGGTGCCCTAAAACAACCAGCAAGTGCAGTGGTAGGGCAGAGAGGGGCTGCCCAACTGCCACAGGTGACCCCTCAGTCTCCACTTTGGCCTCTCGCCCCGCACCCCTTCTCTGGCCCTCCATAGCTCCCAGCTTCTTGTCCTAGACATCTCCCCCCACCCCCCACTCCCAGTCTCTCACAGCTCCCCTGCCCCTCCCTGCCCCCGCACACGCAGTCCCCAGAGTTTCCCAAACATGGGATGCTGTTCCGGCCACCAGGCATTTCCCCATGCCGGTCTCACTGCAGGCGCCACCTCCTCCTGGCAGTCTCCCAGGCTGGGTGAGGTCCAGGGAGCGGCCCTCGCACCCCAGGCGAGGGTGCGGAGGCTGTCCCTGCGCTGCCCCTAAACCTGAGCAGGGTGACCACGGGGCAGGGAGGACGAGGAGGTCGGAGCCCGCTGGCACGGAGGGCGCCTTGGGACAAACTCAGACGGCCCCCGTGTGAGTGCCGCCTGGGACCGTGGAGTCGTGGAGGGACGGCGACCGGCCGGCCCAAGGGGGCGCTAGGCGAAGGTCCCACCTGGAGTGAGGGGAACGCGGAGCACAGGAGCCCGCCCACAGACGCGCGACCTCCGCCCCGCCCTTACCTGTGCGGTGCGGGTGCCGGGAGCCTGGAGTGTCGCCGCGGCCGCTCGCTCCCCGCCGCTCGCACACTGCCCCGCGCCGGCGCCCGCCACGCCCCCGCCACGCCCCCGCCACGCCCCCGGGCGCCCGCCACGCCCCCTCGCCTCGCCCCGCCTCCGGGAGTTGCTTGTAGAAGTTGGGGCGGGCGCCGACGGACCCGGCCGGCCGGAGGTGGGACGCGGCGTCGGCCCGCCCCCCCGCCAGAGGTCTACTCTTAAGGCCTCCCCCGGAGTTCTTCGGGGTCCGAAGGCTCCTGGCACCCAGCGGGAGTGAGATGAGGGGGACTGACTCCTCCGTGCCCTGAAAAACACACACACACACACACACACACTCCCTCACTCATTCGCCGGCTTGCGCACACACACACTCACTCACGCAGGCCCAGGCTAGCCTGGTTTCCCGGGGAAAGGCTCCCAGGACAGCAGGCGGTTTCCAGGAAGCAGCCTGGCTTTTTTGGTCCTGGCAGGGCCCTCCGGTGCACTCGCCCCTGGCGCTCTGGGGCCTGGGTGCAGCCCTGTGATCTCCACCCTTACCGAATCACAAGAAACTTGAAGCCGAGAGTGGGGAAAACCGAGGCTGCCCCGCGGCCCCTTGGGCCAGATGTGTACGGCCGGCCGCTACTCCTTTCTGTGTGACCTTGGGGAAGTGCCCCTGCCCCCACTCCTGGGTCTCCACGGCCCAGTAGAGCGAGAAGCCAGCGCTTGTTTGCGCCAGGACCTGCGACCTTGGAAAGGGTGATGGAAGCCTAATCCCAGGAGGGGGAGGACAGTGGTTCAGCCTGGAACAAAGGAGCCTGCTGTCTGCCGCCTGGTCCCCCTCCAGTGGACACGCCAGTCCCCCCACATCACTTCCCCTGGGACGAGGGTTCCAAGGGATGACAGGAGTCATTGCCCCTTTCCTGGCTGACAACACTGAGGCCAACAGGCCTGGTACAGGCAGTGGAAGAGCAGAAAGGGTGGCCCACCAACCCCCTACTCAAGTCTGAGGGGTTGGGAGTCATACCCCATCCTGCCAAGCTGAAGAGAGATCCCCAGTGGAGGGGGCACATGATGGTTCAAGGGGTTCCTTCCCAGAGGAGCAGGGTCTTGGTGGGTCTGTGGGTCCCCTGGCACATGGGGGTGGCCAGGCAAGGGGTTTCTGGGGCTTGGGAGGAAGGGTCAAGGGCTGGAGAATGGCCACGGCCACATGTAGAGAAAGCAAGACTCTCCAGGAGCATGTGTTCTCACCACGTGTGACAAGCAAGGCAGGCAGGACAGAGTCCAAAGCAGGAGGAAGCTGATTTTCTGTTTGGCTTCTCTGGGCCAGTCCTTCCCCTCTTTGGGTCTCTGTGTCCTCATCTGTACCTGTAGCTGAGGGAGGAGCTGGGCTTGAGCAGGAAGGGACAGGCCCCCTCCGCTTCCTCCCCACGGCGCAGACTTCCTGTTCAGCCACATCTAGGGGAATAGGAAGGCTGGGGGCTGGTCTTCCTTTCACCACCGCCCACCCCCAGGCTGGGTGACCTCACCAGCATTGCCAAGCCCGGTATTATCATCTGCGAAATGGGGCAAAACCTGCCAAGCCTCTCTCTCTCTCTCTCGGATAGGGCCAAGTCATTTGTAATGCCCCAAGTAGTGCCCAAAAGACAGCCTCCCCCTGCCCTTGGTCCCCTGCAACATAGCCAAGGGGCCCTGCCCAGTCCCACCACAGATCTGCACACACCCACACACACCACTCCCACATCCCCTGCACACAAGATTCCGCAGCCACGGGGATGTGTGGTGTGCACACACACCCATCTACTATTGAACACACTGGCAGGACTCCCATGTAGCACATCTCAGGAGGCAGCCCTGTGCATGGGCCCATGCAGACCATGTGCCCATCCCCATGGACACAGACTTACTGCACCACAGAACACACACTAAAACTCACACTCAGACCCACAGAGAGGCAAGTGCAGAGTACGCCTGCACTCCTGTGTACATGAGTGCCCTGGGACACAAGCACATGCTTCTGTACACAGAGGTCTCACCAGGCCCAGCCCAGCCCAGCCCCAGAGCTATTCTGGGCCAGGTCTGGGGCCAACAAGGTCAGATATGGCCAGCTCCCAGCAGGCCCCAGCCACTGTGTCACAGGCCTAGGCAGCCCAGTTCCCCGCCCCACCCCACGCCACCTCCAGCCCTGGCTAGGTCCAACATGTCCCGGATCCCAGCCTAGCTCTGCGACTGGGAGGATACCCACTCCCAACCCTCTGCTTCACCAGAGCTGAGCCCTGAGCCCTGGCATTTCTGGCTCCATGAAAGAACTGTTGCAGTTTCCTCTGGCCACTATCAGCTGACTCTGCCCATGGCTTCCAACCCAGAGGCCCAGGAGACTGGTCTGGGTCCCTACCGGAAACCCACAGGAGCTAAAAATAGCACACAAAGGACAAACAGGGTTCCGCAGGCCAGCATTCATGCCACCATGTATGGAGGGGGGACACTGTCTTCCAGGGGAGCCCGGCTGGGGAATCTGAGGAGTCTGAGGGTCTAGAGCATTGCCACCCCAGACTTGATGGGCCCTACTGGTAGGATAGGGTGCAGGGGTATCTGGGGACCTCATAAGAAATAGAAATAGTACTGGACAGGGGGCAGAACCCTGCGTTAGGGGCCACAGACCGAGTTTGAGGCCTCAGTTCCTGTGTGACCTAACGCAGGGCACAACCCCTCTCTGGCCTCAATTCCTCATAAGTACAAAGAGGAGAGGAAGAAGAGCCTTCAAAGATGGAAAAGACTTTAGCTTTCAGGGTGTTTCTCTCACTGTGGTATTTCACATTTTGGAGAATTGGGGAAAATGCAAATGTTTGACAATAGGGCATTGAACGAGGGCCGTTGGGTTTTACTACCCTGTAATATCACACTGCACAAAATCCACAATAACCACAACAGTCAGAACAACTAGCATTGCCTGAAGGCTTGCGATGTTCAGGTGCCATGATACTGTTGTTATGCCCATTTTACAGATGAGGGAATGAAGCTCAGAGAGGTTAAGTAGCCCACGGAGGTCTCACAGCTGTCAAGATGATCATGGCCCAGGAGTCTTAGTTTTAAGCTTTAATAATTTTAGAAGTTATAAAGTATAAAGCTACAAATCTATAAGAAACATAGTTTGAAAATTTCATTACTTAAATTTTCTTCATGCTACTTTAGTTTTGTGAACTTTGGATAATAACTTCAATTTTTTCAGTCTTCTGCCATCTCTACAGGGCATTAAAAAAAAGGACATTTAAAAAAATGATAAATAAATAAACTTCCAAACTGCGTTTCTCATAAATCTGTAGCTTTATACCTCTGAGGTTATAAAAGCTTAAAACCGTCCTGTTTCAGGACACCTTGTTCTTTTAAGTCAGTTTGACTTCAAAGCCTGTGTGAGAGTATTTGACAGAGCCTTTGGGAGACATGGGGATCTAGGATTCTCGTGTTGGGTAAAAGCCCTGGGTAAAAAGGTATAGCATACAGCGAGATCTCAACTATGTTCAAGAGCCTGCAAAGAAATGGAACCCATGCAGAACAATGACCATCTCAGGGGGCGACAGGGACACACATGACTGTATTCCTTTTCAGATTTCTTCACTGAGCTTGCCCTACTTCTTGGATGGAAAGACTGAACTTTACACAGGAAACAATGTCTCCCCACCTCTCCTGGGCTGAGCCATCCTATGCTCAGCCCTCCCATATTCCTTAGTTTCATATAATCCTCCCATGAGCCCCTTAATGAGAGCCTTGTCCTTTCCATTCCACAGATGAGGAATTCAAAGCAGAGAGGAGTGATGGCTTGCCCAAGGCCACTGTCAGGCCCACTAACCTCAGCGCACTCCAGCCAAGCCCTCTCTGACCCTGTGTCCCAAGGGTGACCTCCCTGGCTGGTCAGTGTGGCTTTCTCAAGCCTGGCCTATAACAGACGGCCTATACCAGTGGGAGCTTCAGCAAGGGACTTGAGCTTTAGTAGAATTCCTGTTTGCCTGGCTAGGACAAGCCTGGGGAGCCTGGGGTGGCCCAGCCCACCCAGCCCCCAGACTTGGCCACCTACTGGCGAGGATCCCTTGGGCCAGCGGTCCTTTGCCAGTGGCTCTTCTGTTTTTCTGCCTGCCTTGTGTTCTCCCAGACCTGTCCCCTGTGAGTGTCCACAGCTGGCCTTCTGGTCTCTGCTGTTGCTCGCCTTGGTCCTTGCCCATCTGCTGCATCTCCGGGCTCTGAATCTACGGGGTCCCTCGTTCTGAGGTTGGGCCCAATGCCCAAAGCACCTCAGCCTGCTCCACTGTCTATGGTGATGAAGAATGAAGGGGTCCAACAGCTAGGCTGCTTCTCCAGCACTCAGCAGGCAGGAGATAAATAACAATGGAAGGAAGGAGGGGGGAGGAAGGAAGGAAGGAAGGAAGGAAGGAAGGAAGGAAGGAAGGAGGGAGGAAGGATGGACCAGAGTAGTCTCCCCACCCCAGACCTCCCTCCTCCTCCTCCAGAGCCTTCCTGGTCTCCACAGCTCCTCAGATCCTCCCTCCCTCCAGCCCTGGGTTGTCAAGGCTCATCCCCAGGTGAGGACCAGAGTACATGTGGGCCAGGTTCAGTGTGAGGTCAGGATCATGGCTCAGACTGGAGTGACAATTGGGGCTCAGACTGGGGCAGAGGCTCAGGGTCAGCCAGAGTCAGAAGATGGTCCTCCAGGCTTTCCAGGTGGAGCCTTCCCTGTCCCATGGGGCAGCAGATGTTGGCTTCTTCAGGAACTTTCCATAGTACCCACAACTAGAGGCTCTGACCATACCATCCCCTGGTCCCCATCCCCCACTCTAGCTCTGGTGTCCAGAGTGACCAGAGCCGTTTCTGGGCAGGAAGCCAGCCCAGAAAGCCCAGGACATCCCTGAGCGCCTGTCCCTATGGCAACCTGCCTGCCAACCCCCTCCCCCCCCCAACTACCGCCACAGGCCTGGGTCCAGTAGGGTTTTTCAAATTCAGAACGTCAGACTGGGAAGGGCCTCCTAGATCAGCAGATGCTAGCCCCTCCCCTTGCCCCAGATGGAGAAACTGAGGCCCGAGTGGGGCGGGGGTGCGGGTGGGGGGTGGGACCTGTTGTGCAAGGACCGGCCCCCAGCCCGTCTTCCCCCTCCCACCCACTCCCACCCCTCGGCCCGGCTGTCGGGTTGGGGAAAGGGGGATCGGGACTCTGATCCCCCGGCAGGGGGCGGGCCCTCCACCCGCCGGGAGGTGGGGGCGGGCGGCCCTGGAACCGGACACCGACGATGAATAAATGATGCCCACTCGCGGCCTGCGACCAGATCGCCACCTCGAGCGCCAGCTGGCGGGGCAGTCACCGGGCCACCCGCGCCCGGCCCCGCGCGGCAGGGTCCCCCCACCTGCGGCCGCGGGCGCGGAGATGGCGGGGCCCCTCTGGGCGCTGGGCGGCGCCGCCCTGGGACTCTGCCTCGCCAGGGTCGCCGGGCAGCTGGTGGAGGTGAGGCGGGGCGGCGCGGAGGGGTCCGGGAGGTTGTGGCCGGCCGGCCGGAGGCTTAGGGGACGCCTTTCTGACTGCGAGCTGGCTTTTCCCCTTCCAACTGCCCCAGCAGACCTGGATTTCTGGGGTGACACGGCCCTGCCCCCAGGCTTCCAGGCTGTGGGGGAGACTCAGCCCCCAACCTTAGGTTCCCTGGTCTGATGGGAGGGCACAGCCCCAGATTTCAGGATCAACTGTCTGGTGGGGGAGACTCACCCTGATCGTAAGGATTCCCAGTCTGGGGATACAGCTTTGCTCAGCCCTTACCTTTGGTCTAATGGGGGCCAGGGAGGGATGGGGGAGGTATAGTCCTTGGTTTCAGTGACCTCTAGTCTAATAGGGGAGATCTAGTCCCTGGTCTTAGGGTCTGCTGGAAGAAAAAGCTTCTGCTTCCAGAGATCCTTCAGGCTCCCCTGCCTGATGGGGGAGACCTAGCCTTGGGAAGGAGGTGAGGGTTTGCCAAGCTGGAGGGTGGGGTCAGGAGACCCTTTATAGAGCAGCCATGTGTTGAGTTCAGCTCCCTGTGGGGCACTTGGCCCTGGAGGGGAGGTGCAGGCAGGGCAGGACCCAGGGCTCGGGGGATCTTACTTGGTCTTGGTGATGTTGGAGAGCCAGCCAAGGTATCTGAGCAGGGGAAGAGTCGTGGATGAGTCTTGGTGTGGAAGGAGGAGGGTAAATTGGAAGGGGGCATATAGCTGGGAAAGCTGGGGGAGCTGCTGAGATAGCCCAGCAAGAGGTAAGGAGGGTGGCTGGGGTGGCTGGCCAGGAGCGTGGCTGGGGACGGGAAGGGCTGGGAGGAGAAGAGTGGGGGCCGTTGCAGCTTCCCTGTCCCCTGTTCCCCATTCCTGCTGAGCTGTGAAGGCGAGCCAAAGAAGCAGACCAGAACCAGAGCCAGAGGCCAGAGGGAGAAGGCCCGAGAGGCAGGGCTAGGGAGGAGCAGGGTTCAGAGCCTGTGCAGGCAGGGGCAGAGAGGAGAGAGCAGAGAGGCAGAAGAGCAAGGGACAGCAAGGCGCCCAGGAGAGCCCTCAGGGGCAGGTGCCAGGGGACAGGGATGGGAGAGGGAGGACAGAGTCTTATCCTGAGGACCGAAGAGGACACAGCCCTGAACCTGAGGGCCCGAGGGACAACAAGACAGAGCGCTGCACCCCGATACTAAGCCTGTCTGTGCTGCTGACCAGGGGGTGTGATCAAAAGGCTGGGCTGGAGTCAGATGTCAGCTCCAGTGTCCCTGTAAGGGGAGCCAGGCTAGCTTGAGCCCCACAAAGTGTACATGAACCCCTTATTGGCTGCCCCGAGGCCTCGGGTGCAGAAACTGAGCTGGCCTGGGCACAGGAGAAGGCTGAGGGTGGGAGTCATGTCAGTTCTGAGCCAAGGACTCTTCCCTTCAGCCCCCAGGAACACATCTCCCTGCTCATCAAGGGAAATTGCATTTGGAGTCCATCTGCCTGCCATCTGCCTACAGCCTGAGCAAGGGCCTGGCTGAGCCCAGGGGATCCAGGGAAGCACTAGGAAGATGGGTAGGGCTGGAGTCCACAGCACCACCCACGACAGCCCCTACAGGCATCAGTCTCCAGCTGATGGAGGCCGGGGCTCCCAAGCTTTAGAGTTTAGACCTCCAGCAGTGCCCACCCCAGAGATGCCCGACTCTTACCTGTTACCCTCTACCCAAGATCCCTATCAGGGTGAGAGTATAAGCTCAATTCCCCCTGAAACAAGGCTAGAAAGAGAAGGTGTCAGAAGTGGGCACTCAGCTGCCCGGACTCAAAATCTGAGATTCCCTCCTCTGGACCTCAGAGTCTTCCAGCCATACAGCCCAGCCGGACCAAAAACATTGAGCCTTAAGATCGGGAACCCCGCCACTGCCCAGACCCTGGCCCTGACTCTACAGACATATGTCTGACCACACAGGCACACTCCAACCACACGTGTGCTCTGTACCCACAAATATGTGCCCCAACTCCACACACATGTGCCCTGAACCCACAGAGGTGCCTGACCTCACACACATGTACCTTGACCCCACATACATGTGTCTGACCCCGCAAATGGATCCAGGCCCCTGGGATGATGCTGAGGAGGGGTATCTTCTTGTCAATGTCACCACTCTGATTACGTAGAGAGAGCTTCCCAGAGAGCCCTGGAACAACCCCACTCAATTTACAGACCGAGAAATTGAGGCCTAGAGGTAAGAAGCCGCCCACCCCAGTTTACCCTGGTGAAGATAAAAGAGCTGGGGATCATGTGCCAATCCCAAGCACACAGATTACCTGGGACATGCTGAAGGGCAGTGTTCTTGAGATGAAGAAGCACCTGACTTGTGGTAGGTGCCCAGTCCATGCTCATGGACCAGGGGAAAGACTGGATGGATGGTTGAGGTGTGAGTTGCCTTTCCTTCCAAGAGAGCCAGAAGAGACTGCAGGTCTGTCCTTATTCAGTTAATCAGGAGACAGTGAATTCCACAGATGCCCCAGGGTCCTCTCCCTCTGAGCATTAACCACCACCCTCCCATCCCTCAGCCAAACTTGGTGACAGAGACAGGGTCCTATCCCTCTCAGACCCACCAGGGCAGGGCCTTGTTCCCTCAGTCCCCCAGGGTAGGGCCATGTCCCCTAGACTCCCAGGGCAAGGTGGCGTCCACTGGGAAGGTGGGAGGTGGCCGACTGTGCTCAGCTCAGGCTTGTTCCGGTCATGCTTACAATGTTTGGCCTCTAGGTGTCGCTGCCGCATTGCAGACTATTTATCCGGTCCTGTCCTGGGAGGACTCTGGCCTAGCCTCTGCTCAGAAGAGGTGACTCTGGCAGGATAGGCAACTGTTGAGGTCACCTGGTGGGGGTCCTGGCCAGGCAGCAGAGCCGCAGGCCCTGAGTCCAGCTCCACACCCCACCCCACGCTGAGGATGCTTGGGAGCAAAGTCCCCCAAGGAGAGTACCAGCCTCCCCTTGTCTCTGGCCTTGGTCCTGAGACCCCATCAGCCTGTGGGGCCCAGGACTGGAGCAGGAGGGGAGACTAGCAGGCTGCCCGAAGGGGACCTGAACCTGATTGGGACAAGCCATCCACCTTTGCCCCTTCAGGCCTTGGTGTCCCCGAGCATCCCCAGGCTCCACGGTTCTGGGGCTCTGCTTTCTTCCCTTGCTCTAAACCTAGAACTTCCCAGGGTCCAGGGCGTTGGCTGTGACGATAAGACGCTTGATTCTAGGAGATTCTGGAATGCTCGGGCTGAGTCCTTGCTGAAACCTGGGCCTCTCTCGGCCCAGCCCCAGCCTCTGGCCTCTGCCTGGCTTCACTTCCCTCTCTCCCGACCTGCAGCCCAGCACGGCCCCGCCCAAGCCCAAGCCGCCCCCGCTGACCAAGGAGACGGTGGTGTTCTGGGACATGCGCCTCTGGCACGTGGTGGGCATCTTCTCGCTCTTCGTGTTGTCCATCAGTGAGTAGCTGCTCCCTGCCCTCCCCACCCCAACGCAGCTGCAGGAGCACAGCACCCCCTGCCCTCCCCCCACCCCCGCCAGCACCACCCCCAGGGGCTCAGAGCAGTAATTCCGGGCAGTGCAAGCAGGCCAGCCGCCCGCAGGAGGCCCACTGTGGTTTCTGGCACCTCCTGATCTACACAAAGTCCCTGTGGAGGGCTGACAGGCTGGTGGTGACCTGAAGTATTCTGCCCAACTGGGACACAGCCACATGGCAATTACGATAATTACAGGGGACTCCACTGAACCAGGATGAGGACGTGTCATTTTTCCCTATCGCTGGCCTCCTGATGCTTTTCCTGCAGTTTGGCCCGCTTAAAGGGCCCACACCCAGAGGCCCCAGCAAGGCCATCCTTGGCCGCAGCTCAGCCTAGAGGCTCCCCAGACGCCCGGCAGATGTGGCTCCCAGGCTGCAAACCGTGCCTTGTCAACTCCCGTTCCCCTGGAATGACTCACACCCCCCTCAGTTAAAAGCAGGCGACCCCTTCCTCTCCTGGGACTGGGAGTTGCTGGATGCAAACTCACAACAGAAATGGGTTTGGCATGCTCCTTCAGCCCTTCCAGATCAGGGGTCTGCAGTTGGGGAAAGGGGAGCAGAGAAGTGCCAATGGATGGGGGAGGCTGCCAGGGTACAATGTAGAGTCTGACGAAGTTTCCCACACACCAAAGGATACGGGGAGACGCAGGCGAGGAAGGGAAAGAAGACCCACTCTGCCCGCACAAGCTTCTTAGAGGAGGGTCCTCTTAGCCGCACATCAGTGAGAGGACGCGTGCAGTTTTGCCAGGTGGGCAGCTGGAAAAGGCAGATGGGACGGTGTAGGCAGAGGTGGGAGGAAATGGCCCCCGCACAAGGGCTCAGATAACCCCTACAGGATTTTCACTGCATGCGCCCCAGGTCGGGGCAGCGAAAAGGGCATTTAACTTCCAGCTGGAGCTGTCCCTGGATGAGGTCCCCTGGAGGGCAGCACCCCAGCGGAAGGCCCACCCACATGTAAGGACTCCAAGGGAGACAAGGACATCTGATGGGCATATGCTTCTCCTGACACCAGGGAGGCCCTCCTTGGGGGAAAATATCCACACCCCACCATCACCATTTCTTCATGGCTGGAGTGGAAGCAGGATCTGAGCAAGAGGCTGCATTTCATTCCTGGCCAAGGCAAGAACTAGTGAGGCCTCTGGGCGGAGGCCCTGAGGATAGCTGGTTGTGGCTGTAGCCCCAGCCTAGGTGTCCAAGGAGGAGATCGTGGACCCGCCTGCCCCCCCCACCACCACCCCGCACCCCAGCACCAAGAGGCAGGGTTCAGGGAGGCATCTGCCTGCAAGAGCAGTGTAGGGTGTGGGTCCAGGGAGCCACTCTGGGGCACTCCAGGGAGCAGGAGTGAGGACGCCAAGGGGCCTCTAAACACACACTGGCCTCTCTGGGCTCTGCTCAGCCCCAGATGGGGCCTGGGGGGGTGCCTAGGGCCACACCAGAAGGTTGCAGTGTCAGACCCAAAGAGGCGCTTGGACATAAAGCACACAGACCAGCTCTTATTTTCTAGAAAAGAGTAAGGGAGAGTCCCAAAGGCCTCTGAGCCGCTGGTCACCACTCGTTACCTTCTGTGCAGGGCCCTAGGAGTAGGGATGGCACAGTCTTTCCTACCTCCCAGTCAGCCTGGGCCTTGGTGGCGTTGCTGTCTGGGGCGTGTCACCCCAGAACCTTGTGCAGAGGGCCTGGGCTTGGATGGAGGTCCCTCTGGAGGTCCCTCCAGCCTGGGGACTCACATTCCAAGCCCCTGCCTGGGCCCTGGAACTCCATCCAACACACATTGTTTTTTTCCCTTCTTTTGACGAGAAGTGACCCGGCCAGGCTGGGTGGGGCAGGCCTGGAGCGAGAGGCAGCGTCTGAGCCCTGCTCCAGGTGCCAATAGCTGAGCTCCCTTCAAAGCCCAGGCCCTGTGGGGCCTGAGACCTGCCTCTGTGGCGAGCCTGAGTAAGCATCGTGAGAGGATGTGCCCGGCGGGTGGCTGGAAGAGGTGACCCAAGCCAGCAGGATGGGGGCCCGTCAGGCATACACACCGGCGCCTGGAGAAGACTAGAACCCAGCTCTTTGGATAAGAAAAGCTTGCTGTTTGCCCCTGGACAGCGCTGTACAGTCAGACCTGCTGCTAGGGTCTCCTGCAGCCCCCCAGAGCTCCTGATTGCTGGCAGCTCCCCCATCCATCCATTCGGGAGTCCAGTTCTGTCCTCAGGAACAAAGGCTTTGAGACCATCTCACGCATTCATTCATTCATTTTTTTTTTCTTCATTCTGTGAACCTGGGTGAGACTTAGTGGGGCCACAAGATTTGGCTGAAGGGGTTGCACAAGTTGACCCCCAAGGGTGCTCCAGCCCCGGCTACATTGGTCTGATCCATCTTCCCTAAAATAGGCCTGGCTTGTCCTGCTTGGCCATCCTGCCCCCAGGAGTCTGCCAGGAAGTTATGTCTTGTCATCCGATTTATAATAGGAAGCAGCCCCGTCCCCTCCCCTGAGGCCGGGACCAAGGTGGTCAGACTGTGGAGCCTTAGAAAAATAAACTCAGTCCAGCCGAGTCCTGGCAGCCCTGCCCTGTCCTGCCGATCACTAGACAGGCCAGCTCCATTCCCTGGCCCAGCTCGCGTGGGCACAGCTGCCTTCAGCAGAAAACCGCCCCTGGGATAACTGTCTGGGGTGAACGCCCCAGGGCAGGGTCTGTGCCCTCTGGTGGGCCCTCGTGGCCAGGAGAAGCCCAGGCTTGTCCTCAGTGAGGTTGAGGAGGACACGGCCACGTCCTCGGGTGTCGGAGGTCCTCCCAGGAGCCTGGGGAGGAAGCACTAGGAGCCGAGAGGCCTGGGTGGGAACACAGGACAGCCCCGGGGCGGTTACAGCTGGAGTCACCAGTGCAGGTCTCTGCCCTGCCCTCCAGGGGCCTCGATCTAGTCAGAAAGCGAGACCAGCGGCAGGACTTACGGGCCTGAGACCCCGCCTTGTTCAGAAATTGTTAAGAACAGCGATTGCAGCACATAACGCCCAGCGCCAGGCCCTTCTGAGAGTGGGCCCCTGTGTGCCTGCCCAAAGTCGGCTCCGCTCAGGAGAGAGATCTTGGAAAGAATCCCGGAGCCCACAGGGGTCTCATCCAAACGCAGAGCCTCCTGCCAGAGACTCCTGGGTGAGACACATGTAGGCAGGTGAGGGCAGGTCTGAAATGTGGGGATCATTCCTGGGGTGCAGCCTTGGCCAAGCCTGCTCTGTCCCCCCCTACAGTCATCACTCTGTGCTGCGTCTTCAACTGCCGCGTGCCCCGGACCCGGAAGGAGATTGAAGCCCGCTACCTGCAGCGGAAGGCAGCCAAGATGTACACGGACAAACTGGAGACGGTCCCCCCACTCAACGAGCTCACGGAGATCCCTGGAGGTGAGCAGGCTGGGGGGGGGCAGCCCCCTCCCCCCCACCACCCCCACCACCACCTGTCCCAGCTGAGCCAGCCACTTCCTCAGTCCTGCCCCCCAGAGTGGCCCTGCTCCTCCCCTCCCCTGGTGTTTAGGTTCTGGTCCCTAGAGACCAGAGCGCAGAAACGGGCCCGAGTGAGGCCCGTAACACAAGGAGCTCTTCTGCAGGTGGGAGAGGTTTGGAAAGGAAGAAGCAAAGCGCTGGGTGTGGGGGGCTCTGGTGTGGGCCCTAGGACCCCCGGCCTCACTCCTACCACCCACCTCTCCTCCACCCCACAGAGGATAAGAAGAAGAAGAAGAAGAAGAAGGACAGTGTGGACACAGTGGCCATCAAGGTAGAGGAGGATGAGAAGAATGAGGCCAAGAAGAAAGGGGAAAAATGAGGCGGGCTTCCTGGAGGAGGCAGCTGCGGCTGGCTAGCCCTGGGGCG